GGTTTTTTTGTCAGTGTTGATGTTTATTGCTGCTTAAATCTCTGCAGCTCTTTTATGAACAGGTTCAGATGGCACATGGATTGTAACAGGTTCTGCTGTGAGGGCCCATCCTGGAACAGTGACAGTCACCAACATACACAGAAGAGCTGTTGACCTTGCAAAGACAATCTACTTGAGGCTAGGGTGGCAGATTGAGGAGGACACTACCATGTAGCCTTTTGTGTTGTGCACATCTGTTGTTCATGGGAACTTAACAAATGATTGGTTTTGGGGGGGCTGTTTATTTTTCTTCCCTGGGCTGGCAGGATAGCTTTGCCTGTAGTACTGTGACAATAGTGCCATTGCTTGGACTCCCATGGTGTGCTGAACTATCAGTAAAACTTTACAGCTACTTTCTTCTTTGTCTTTCTAACACTATGAATTTTCTTCTTGTACATTGAAGGAGGCAATAGAGCCACAGTATTATTGTCATTATTAACTTGGATATTGTGTTTATCTGTTACGTTAAAAGAATTAATAACTTCATGGGACCTTGCTGCTTGTTTTCCAGGAGCCAGTAAATAGTACTGCAGCAGACCAGGTTTCTCTTTTAAAAGAAACACCATCTATCTAAGACAGGGCTTCTGCTGTCCCATCTGTATTGGCTACTTCTGAAGCACTTTGTACATAGGGTCTGTGTGTGTGAGGGGGTGAGTGGTGGTGGTGGTTGTTGCGTGCCCCTGTTCCCCACTGGGATTTGAGGGAGTGCTATAAACATGGTTTTCCTTGTTTTTACATGCTTGGAACCAGATGTGAGGCCAGCTGTGGAATGATGCCTCCCAGTAGAAGAGCAAGAGTGGATTCTGGGCAGTCTATGGAAGTATAGATGGGGGAAAAAGTCAGTGGTCCTGTAGTGAAAACTCTGTGCTAACAGTAACTCTCAAATAAAAACTGTCCTCACTTACTTCAAGTGAAAGAGATCTCTGGTGATCAGGCTCTTCTTTTTGCCTGAAATTGTCAGGCTTGATTTATTCATTTTCCAGTTCGACCTGCATAAAATGAAGGTGCTCTGAAGTCTCCTCTAAAATGTAGCATTCAGGTAGTAAGATGCATTCACTGTATTTGTTTGTTTGTTTTAGTCTTATGTGTATATACGTTGAATCTCAGGCAACCACATGTCTCCATTGTTTGTATGCCTGATTTAATGATTTATCTTGATAGTGCTTGAGCCACATCAGAGAGAGCGAGAACACTAGACCTTTGTTTCCTCCTTTTTGTGCTGTTTTGCCTTTTGCTTTCACTGGCTGATATCTTTGGGGGGGAATGATATTGTTCCTTTCAGCCTATCCTAATTTCTGTTCTTCCATAGTCCTACTACAGTGTCCTGAGTTACCACTCAGTTTTCTATTTTTTGGGGGGGATCCCTCCCCTGAAAGAGACTGTGACTATACCTATGTGGTATGATAAATTCTTGGCTGCCTGTGAACAGCTTGTTATGCTGAAATATGAGGAGGGAGCTCAGAGGCAGATGGTATCGCTAGTCTGTACCAGGCTGTCAGAGATGAATCTGAGCCACTAACTTGACTTCTATCCCCTTGTGAGAGGCAGAGAGCACTGTTATGTGTTGGTCGTAGCTCGAGGTGTATTCAGGAGGAGAGTTAATGTAGCAGGAGTCCAGCTCCCAAGCCAAAAACAGCGGGTGTGCAAGTCTGTACCAGGGATAATTTGAAGTATAACTGACTAAGCCTGTGGAGCTTTCTATTCACTTTGGTGATGTTTATCTTTTGGCTTTGCTGCTTTTCCTAAGGGAAACGAAACCATTAAGACGTTAAAGGACTCTTCCATCTTGCCAAAGAAGTAGAAGTGCTCTATGAAAATAGAGATTTGTAACTCCCTGATGTGGGAGGAAAGGACACAAAGCTTGCAGGGCTGTGTGTTGTTCTGGCAGTAATGAGAAACGGATGCAATGTGTGGAGGCTCTTGGACTTTTGGTAGGAAGGAGTGGGGAAGATGGGTGACAGATGCACTTGACCTAAGCTATAGAAGATGACAAGTATGAAGTTCTTTAAAGTGAGAATTTCTTGGTCTTCTGCTGTTTCCTGCAGATTAAGCAGAGACTCTGATCAAACTTAAATCCAGAGTGTTGCCTAGTCCTCTTACTTGAAGGAGAGAGGGCCATTCTCAATTTTTTATAAGTAATAGATAGCTGTTGTGTTAATTATATATATATTAATTAAATATATATATATTAATTATTATAACCCTTGAGGTGACTTGGAACACTTTTGCTGCTGCTAACATGGGAACAACTTTAGTACAAAATTTCTTCTGAAGTGTTCATTCTTATATGTTGACTGTTGTTGATTACTTCCCCCTCCTCTTTATTTAGAGCTGGATGTGGCTGGGTTGCTGAGTTAGTCAAACTTGAGTTTGGATTACTCTGGAATTGATTAATAAAGTTTGGAAGTTTGGATCCAAGTTGCTGGTTTGACAAGTTAGTGGACTGCAGAGAGGTGGCTTACAGACAGAAGTAGAGCTAGACTTGTCAAAGAGAATGACCATCATATTACTATTCTTTTGTTTGACTGGAACAAAGCTCTTCAGTAATAGGCTTCAGGAGGTCAGCGTAGTGATTCAGAAAGGAGTAACCTCCTCTAAAAGAGGAATGGAGCTGCTACTCCCCACATGACTGGAGATACACTCCTGCTTTGCCTAAAACCATTGAACTCCTACTGACATCTGCTGCCAAACACAGCAATTCAACTTTGCTGTTTCACCAATGTTGCTTATGTGGTTAGTTTCAGTCTTATCAATAAATCATGAAGCAGCTTCTTGTACATATATTTTCTCCTCTTCCACTTCAATTTTCTTATGTGAAAGAGTTTGAGGAAGATAAATATGCACCAAGGTATGCATAATAATGTGGACTGGCAAGAGTTACAGCTGCAGTGTTGGGAAAGTAATTTTCAGTAAAATCCGGTAAATGTGTTTTAAGTAGCTGCCTGTATCCCTGAAAACTTTGATAAACTGTACCATTCTGCTTGTCTATATTTGAATTAAGATTGGATTTACAAACTGTAGTTTGGCAAAGATGCATTTGAAATTAGAAACAAGATCTGTCAGGAATTCAGTATTCTTGTGTTAGAATCTAGTTTAGCATTGCAGTAGCTCTTATCTCAATTGTTTCTCTTCAAAGCTTAATACCAAAGTTAAGACTTTAAGACCTAGTTTAGTAGAGCCAGTCAAATATCTCTAGAATTCTGATAAAGTCTAAATTCATTGTATAGATAACATCAAGATCTGTCTTTTTTTTTTTTTTTTTAGCGTCTTTCCTCACATTTTCTGCTGTTGATAAAGTTGAAATGGGAGACAGGCAAAATTTTAAATAACTGCTGACATTTTAAGCAGCATGTTGTTTAGTTACATCTCTGCATTGTTGAGATGAGAAATGCTACTGTTTATGGGTTCTTTCTGATCACATCTACTGTCAGTGCTGTCAAAGGTAAGACTGTTAAGTGTCTAGGAACATTCTCAGGAAAAAATCAGTTAGAATATAGCATAAAGATGTTAGACTAACAGCTAAGTCTTCTGTCCCACAAAGCAGAAATGGGAATGCCCTTTTTTAACCAGGCACACCCCTCCACTCCCTGCCTTTTTTCCCTCCCTCTGAAACAGAACAGGTAAATGGCAATCCTCTTCCTTGCTTTCCCTTAGACACAAGCTTGCACAGACGCTGTTAACAATACTAGCAGAACATCCTTATGTAATACTGCAGCTTATTTCCGGAACTAGAACAAATGACCTCTTTTTATTTATACAGAGATTCAAGAGACCGTGTTATTCTTGTTTACCTCTCAAATGTTGATTATCCATGATTGGTCAGCATCAAAGACCAGTGGTTTGACAGAAATCAAAGCACAGTCAAATGGACTGGTGGTAACTAGCATTTGCAGCGAGTCTTTGAAATGATGCCAGTTGTCAGAATGCATCAAGGGCAGGTGCTGCTGCACGCTGTGAGGGAAGGCAGCCAGGAGCTGACTCCCACAGCCAGGCAGGCTCGGGAGGGAGCTCTGCTGGGGAGGCCTCCACTGAGGCTGTTCCTAGGCTGCTTCTGCACAGCAGACCTCATCGGCTGGCTCGCCTCGAGCATGGGAAGCTAAGCTCATACACGTGGGGGAATGTGTATGAGAACCATCCGACAGCAGTGGTGGTTTATCCTTTTGAATGTTGTACCCTTTGATATTTGTGTGCTTACAGCTACCTTTAGAAGTTACTAGAAAAGCGCCAACAGTGAAGGTACACAGAGTCAGAGCATTTCTTGCAGTAGGTCGGTTCTGATTCTCTTCCCTTCCCCATGCTGATGGAGGACACCATCTGCTTGTTTTTCCTTCAGAATTAAAAGCTTTGTCAGTCATTGATTTGATGTTTGTTTGTTTTTTCCTCTCCCATTTGGCTGGTGCATATTCCAGGTTGCGCATTATCCATGAAGTTGGCTTTAAAAGAAACCTTGTTAATTTGGGGTAAAGTTCACTCAGTGCTTTAATTGTAATTGTTCCACAGATCAGTTTAGTTTAAATACATCTAAAAAATTAAGCTATGCTGATGCAGATAAGGAAAGCTGAACTGATTATTTCTTCCTAATTTTTCAGTAAAGGGAGATTAGATTCAAGGACCAAAGAATAGAGCTCTTGGAGGTTTTGTATTTCTTTGGTTTTTATGATGATACCCTTCATCCTTGATGTTCTTATATTACAAAATTAATTCTAATATATAAGCTGAATTTCTGCACCCATAAAATTATCTCCGGATTGGAGTAAGTTCAGATCACATGCTATTTTATTTTTTTACCATGAATGGTCTCAAAGGAGAGGAGTTACTAGAGAGGGGCACAAAGGGAGATGCCAGAGAGAAAATTAAGGCAATGATTTGGGTTTTGATCTGCTTTATGGTGTGCAAAATCTGTTAGTACTTTCTCATTTGAAACTTTAATCCTGTCTATCATTGTGACTCAAAAGACCAAGATGCCTATGGCAGGTATGTGCTTATATGAATCTGGTACGGAGGGTTATTTTTGGATAGAAGATGGAAATTGCTGTTGTAAAACCACCTGGTGAGAAGCAGGGAATGAGGCACTGAAGTCAAATAGAAAAAAAAATCAAATCTTTCATTTGAATATGAAGTGAGCTGCTCTGATATTAATTTCTTGCAGCTGTTAAGAGGGAGAAAGAGAACTTTAGTAATCTCTGATAGATTCTGCTCTCCCTTCCTCTCAAGTGTCACCTGTCTGGGTTAACTGATATAATAACTACTTAGTTCTGTAACAATATAAAGCACAAGGTGCTTGTTGTTGAGGAGAGCTGTTCTAGTTTTATTACTTCCTATCGCTGTAAGTGGCTATTTGTGCTCTTGCTATTGGGAACTGTTTCTGGGTTAAGCTTATTTGAAGGTAATTAGAACTTGTGCAGGATTTGTTGATGGAGTGGCAGACTGCATTAGCTGCACCCTTGTCTCATCGCTGATGTAAGCCACAGTGCAAATGTTGACCAACACCCGATACTGACGTTTTTGGAGACCTCTTCAGGTCAAGCGCACCAGATTTCATAAGAGATTAAAGTTATACATGGTTATCAAAGGGAAGTGAGGTGGCTGCTTGATTTGGGGCTGGAAAAATTACTTCTTGGCTCAGTTTATGCAAGGGACAGTGAGACTACAGACTTGGGGTAGCAATTGGAATTGAGTTTGCTTGTTGCTATTGTATGAGCTGAAGCCTTTTAAATAGGTACAGATACAGAAATGTTGTCTTAAACCAAACCTTTCAAAATTCCAAAAGGCAGAGTGGAAATTACTGAGACATGAGCTTCTTGCCTTTTAGGAAGTGAAATTTCAGAGCTGGCAGAAACCTATTGAGTCATCAAATGTCTGTATCTAATGGGAGATTTCTTCAAGCAGATACATATTGAGTTTAAAGAGAATTAGACATTGTGTAATGAATTTCTAAGCAGGAAGGTTATGATTAAACTAGGCTGCTGAAGTCTCAGTCTCATGTAGTGGGAACCTTGCTAGCTTAATTTCATATTCATATAAAAAAAAGTATTCACTTTGTTTTTTATAGTTTTTACACACACACCCTGTAGATAATTCTGGAGGATTAAAACTGTCTTAAAGTAGGCTTCAGAATGCACTGGTCATAATGAATAGAGGAATTTGTTTGCTGTTGTGCAACATTTTGACAGTGCCTCTGAGAAGGGATTACAAAGTCCTAACCAATGGGTTTATACTGAAAAGAAGGATGGTAGCAGCTTGAAGTCCTTTGTTTTGTTCACAGGAAGGAAAATGGTAAGTTTGTCTGTAAACATAGTTCACAATACTCATTGCTTCCTGAAAAGCCTTTCTGTGTCTGTGGCAATTCGCTTAAATGGGCTGTAATGTGAGGAAACAGTTTGCAGGAATGATGCTTTCGTGTGAGCAGTTTTATATAACACATGGTATGAAGTAAGAGCTAATAACTGGGATTTCCAGATTCCTTTGAAACTAATTCAGCAGGGTTTAGAAACCTGGAAAAGATGCAATTTTGCCTTTAATTTAGGATTTATTTTTTTTTTAACCTCTAGTTCACAAATATCCAGTGTGAACAGGCAGTGTCAAGAGATCATTTCTATCTCTCATTCCTCATGTGTTTGGTTTTTTTTTTTTCCCCAATTGCTGTTTGCTGCCTAGGATTGCTGTTATGGTTGTTTCAGTAGCATGCTATTGGGCAGTGTCAGCAGTCAGCATGGCTTTGGAAGAAAGCTGCATCTCCTGCTGTCAGATTGCTGCTTCTGGCTCTGGTGCATCCATCCTCCTAGCAGAGAAGGATGGGAAGGAGGGAGGCTTTCCCTGCTGCTGCCCAGGTGTTTTCCAGTTAACTGCCCCTAGATTTATGAGCAACCTGCTTTTACAGATGAAAATTTTCTCAAACTGTGCAGGGAAATTACTTGCTATAGTAACTGCTGCCCGCTGTACATGATAAATGGACTGTATTTTGCTCAAGATGATAGGAAATGGACATTACCATTGTTATATAGCTTGCTAAAGGACATCTTATGTCCCAGTTCTAGGTATCATTGGGTTGGCCCTGAGTGCTATGTTAATAGCTTATTTGAAAAGCCATATAGGAAACTTTTATTTTCTTAAATATGCTCTTAATCTGTATTTCTAACTTTTTTCCCCTAAGTATAAGTTAGGTTCCTAATTATGGAAAAATATTGATTTCTTTTACCAGATCTAGGTAAAGTTCTAGTTCTGGCTGTGCAGGCTGAAGAAACGACTGCCTTCCATCCCCTGGTCTGCTGGTTGAATGCCTATATGACTTTTACCTAACCTGTTCTGGTCAAAAGAAGCTGATTTTTCAAGCTAATTTATTAATTTTTGGCCAAAATGTGTCCCCAAACAGCTCTGTTGATGAAACTCCATCAGAGGAGGGCACTGAACCACTGAGGATTGCACTCCTAAGCTGTGGAAGAGATACGTCTGCTGCCTTGGCACAGTAATTGTTCGTACTAACAGGACTGTTGTGCATATATACATCTTATTTATGTCACTGTACTCTGTGTTTGTACTCAGACTGACACCTTTATCTCCCTCATATCTCTTTCAAGTTCCTGTAACAGAAATGAATTAATCAAGCCTGATTTGGTTTTTTGTTTGTTTTCCTCAGTTCAAAAAGTAATCTCTTGAGCCAGTATGCTGATGGAGCTGACTTGTATGGACTTGGTTGTTATCAATTTTCTGTGCTGTTGAGAATTGACTAATGAATCAAACAGAATATTACATTCATTTGAATGTAACCTCTATTAGAGCTTGAAAGTGGAACAGAAGTCTTCTTTTGATCATATTTAATTTCATATTATTTAGTTACTAGCAAAATGTCTGTGGTGTTTAGTCTGTAAGCACTGTATGGTACTGTTTCACTTACGCCGTACCTGATCTGCACTGACAAATGGTGTGGATGCTGTACTTTCTAATTAACATAAGGAAGATGGCTTTCCTATCTGCCCACACCTTTTTCTAGCTTTCAGAACTTCAATCTACTGTCTTTTAAAAGGCCCACATATATTCTTCCTGTTAACTTTCTGTTCTGATGTAAAAAGCTGTTTTTTTGCAGCTATTAGTATCTTGAAACAGAGTGCCCCAACTACCAAAGAAAGTAAGTGCATATTGTTCGGTGTGGTGGGTTATATAAAAATGGCCAAATAACAGCAAGATCCACTAGATTGCACTGCCCAATAGCATGTCTACCCATTGAGCAGTTTCTATGTTGGGCAAAACAATGTACTTCAAAGATTTAGTTTTTTAATTTATTTAAATCAAAGCTATGTGCAAGCAGGCAGTTGAAATGGAAAACAATTCAGATCTTTTAAGTATTAGACTAATATCTGAGACTCTAAATAGAAGCTAAGAAAATAATTATTACTTTAATAATTTGACATAAATTATTTTTCTTTGCTGTTCAGTAAGCATTAAGACAAATGAGCATGTTGATTAACTCTTTAATATCTGGTCAATCCTAGTAAATATATGTGCACACATGTGCATACATGCACTTCTTACCACTTCAGGGTAGATGGTTCATCTATGTACCATGATTTTTTTTTGTGTGTGTGTACTATCTATTCGTTAGCTTTTATTTTGTCCTAACATCATTTAATCATACCTTTCAAAACTAGGCATAATTAAAAAAAATAGTAGGAAGAAAAGATACTATTAATGTTTGAGGATTGGATTAGTGTGTACTTCTGAGATTATCTATATCCTAATCACATAGCCATTGGATAGATGGCTGAAAACATTCCTATCACCCTGGAAAATGTAGCTGTCGTCTGCAAGGACATAAAAACAGTGGGCTTAAATAAGCACAAAGCTGAGACAAGAAACTGCTACAAGGCTTATGAACTCCATCTGAAAAACAATAAACTTCTGAAGATGGTAACAAAAACTGAGGGCATTTATTGTCTTTAACAGACATTAGGCTTTTGTAAAAATAACTGGAGAGGCGCATCCATTTGTCCAAAAGGGTGCACAGGATCCCAGAATTCTGGACCCCAAGTGTGTCTGTCCATCCATCTCTACCATCACCGCACTGTAAGCTGTATGAGCCTGATGTGATTGTAAGAAGCAAATGGCCAAGTCTTTTTGCCTCACAAATAGGGACTGGGAGCAGGGCAGGGGAAGGAGGAGAGAAATTCTTGATCACAAGTGATACTTCTCTGAACACACTTGCTAGAATCTTCCATGTTTGGCCTGCTTTGAGCATGACCTGAAGAATCTTAACCAGTTCCTTAAAGTGCTGGTGGGTTGTTTGTTTGGCAGTGATGTAAAGATGAAGCTTTGTGATATAATTTCCTTTCATTCTTTTTCCTCCTTTAATGGGTGAAAATACTGTGATGCTTGGATGTCCTGTAAGAGAGAACAAAACTAAGTGGCAGTCCTTTCCTCCATTACACTGTGTAATGCGCTGTCCTGCCATGTATAAGTAGGATGCTGAACACAGCTACCAACTGCAGATTTCTGCTTCCCACATATGTCAGAGGTATTAGATTAAAGGTGTTACTAACTTGGACAGCATTTCTAAAAGCTCTTGATACCTATTGAATGATGTAATATCTTGAAGTCTTACTTCCAAAACTTGTCTCCTGGGCACGGTCATTGAACATCTCTCAATATTTGCAACTCTTTTCTGATTCTGCACAGCAGCAGAATGAAACAGAGGGTAAAAAAAAAAAAAAGTAGTGGTCAGACAGAGATCAGATAGCACATTCACATCTGAACAAAATGGGCTCAAAATTCCAGAGCCATCATCCTGGTGGCTAATTAGGTATTGCCTAAGGGAGGAGGAAAAATAAGCTGTTGGGGGCCTGTGTTGCCTTTTGAAAACCAAGGAGTGGTATGTCACGGTCCTGCTTTAAGTCTCTGCACGTAATGTGTTTTCTCACAGGGTTGCAGAGACTACATTTATTCATCCTTTGTCAAGTAGCTGCACTCAGCTGACATGTCCTCCCCTAGCAAATACCCTGACGTATCCATGTCCCTGCTACAAAAAGTATGCTTGCCTGTTTCCCAGCCACCCAGTTCCCACAAGTGACTCAACCATTTTCCTTCATTCTTTTTGCCAGTCGAAGCTACTTTTGAAGTTATAATAAAGTGATGTTTTTATTGGTGCTGCTTTTATGTTATTTCCACCAAGCAAATTCCCAGAGTCTGTTTCTTAGGCATTTAAACTAATGGCTTAATGGAAATTAAGTAGGAAACCCAGAGCACCAAGGGGGCTGTTTGTTCATGCTGATTTGCTTGCCTTAATTTTTCAGATTGCCCCATAAGGCATAGGATGGCTGAAGGCAAAAATGTCAGGCTCTAGCCTGGATGCTTGAAACTGCAAACAGCCTAATGATTCTGAGGAACAGATGGGACAGGCATGACTGGTATTCAGGGTGATCTTGACTTAATAAGCCACTATTGGTGTAGCTGTCAATACCCTGGGGCCTTTACAGTCCTCATCAGTGCCTGCAGCAGCAGGCCTATCTGAAACCGGGAGGCTCTGGTCTAGGAAATCCTGTTAGAAATGTTGGTGTCTAAATGACTGTTAAGAAAGCACAGCAGAGCTTCAAAGGATAAGCTCGATGTGTATGAAAGAAAATTAAACTTTAAATGTAGCCAGTTAATAAATATGCTCCTGGTTGAGTGGAGGAGGTGAAACAACGCTAAAAAACAGTCCCTTGTTTCCTGATCTGTGAAGTGACTCCTTTTCAGGGTAAGGAGGCGGAAAGACATTTTAGGGAAGGCTGAGTCTTAGACCTGGAATGTTGCCAGGCTTCAACAGCCAATTAAGTTGTAACTGGCAGCAAACAGGATCTCAGAGAGGGTTGGGATCAAAAGCCCCAGAATTAAAATGCCTTCTGAACATCTTGCGTTGAAAAAATGGACAGGTTGTAAGACAAGGCATTAGTGCATCTTCCATGGATTTGCCTGGAAGTACTGTAAAAAAATTTCATTATTGATCCATTAACACTTTTGTGCTTGGATTCTTGTGGGGTTTGAAAATGGAACATAACTGTTAGGGCTCAGGTATAGTTGGTGAAATGTGTAGTCCTATGTAGGCATCTTTGAACAACTGAACTTATTTAACGTTGTATGGAATCTGTCTAATTGGGAAGGAAGATGGCAATACAAACTGAACTTTTTCATGTTAAAATTGCCACAAAATAGTTAAACCAAAATGCTTTTCTAGGTGGCTTTCTGTGGTTGTCGTATCTCATTGCTAAATTAAAGCAACAATACTATCTTAAGCTTTCTAATCTGTGAAGCTGTGACACGGTTGTTTGCAAGGGTATGCAAACAGTCAAATGAATCTGTTCCCTTCTGGTTGTTCCTTTCATACTTGCCTAACGGATTTTCTCAGGGGACCGTATTTTGAACATTTTTATGGGCACTTATTTGAGTAACTCACTCTCTCTTTATGCTGCTGTGTTTCCAGGATGCCAAGTGTATGACTTTGGAGATTTGAATTTCACTCAAGTTCCCAATGATGAACTGTACAACAACCTGATACTATATCCACGGTCAGTGGGTTTAGCCAGCCAGGTACTGGCTGATGCTGTAAGCAGAGCAGTAGCTGCTGGACACAGCTGTGTGACTATAGGAGGTGATCACAGGTGAGCTGAACTGGAAGCAATTAGTGGTACATGCTGTGGGTTGACACTTGGAGTGTAAGAACTTAAACAAAAAACAAGGAGACAGTAGGAACAACTTGGGCTCAATTCCTGGCAATACCATAGGGTAGCAGCATTTTGATTTTATTGCTGGGGCTTTTAAGACGGAACATAGAAGACAAGTACAAAAATCTGACCTTCTAAAACAGTACTGCTTAGTTCCAGACTGTTCTGCAATCTGCAGATGATACAAACGAGGTTTTCCTGTTCGGGAAAGTTTGTGTGATCAGATCCCTTTAGGAACTGTTGCAGTTTCTTTATTGCTGAATGTTTAGTGTCTCTCTTGCCCTTCAACTCTCAGGATGTCAGCTCTTAGGATGGGTTTGTAATGCCTGCACACCAACCATTGTGTAAAAGATGTTATAACGTGAATTTCTTTCTCCTCTTTTTCACTAACCTTTGGTCGGAGAATTGGTTAAAGAAGGTAGGGCATGTAAGAATGAATTGTAGGGGAAGGTGTCATGACTGGAATAAAAAATGGGTGAATAGCAGAATTGATGAGTGAGCACACTAGATTTTTTTAATGAGATCATTTGGAGCTAGAACAGGTGAAGATTAGAGTGTGGGAAGGATGATAGTGGAGAGAGAAAAGAGCTCTTTCTTATCTGTCTGTTCTTGTACAGTCCTGTAGTTAACTGGAGTCTCCTGGAATCACGATGGTGGCAGGCCACACAGGTTGTATGGGATGCAGCCTTTACTGTCATGGATGTCTGATGTGTTGAAACATGACAACATTGCTGACTGAAGTTGCAGAGACTTCCCGTTGTTCTTGTAGTTGTTCTGAAGCAGAAATGGTGACTAAAGACTTTGCTACTGTCCTTCTAGCTTGGCACTTGGTTCTGTCAGTGGCCACGCACGGCAGTGCCCACACCTTGGTGTGATCTGGGTGGATGCGCATGCTGATATCAACACCCCTCTTACGACTCAGTCTGGAAGCCTCCACGGACAACCTCTGTCATTTCTCTTGAGAGAGCTTCAAGATAAAGTAAGTATCTTGCTTTTAAATTGAAATCCTCAGAACATTTTACTTTTCCTGGTGAGAGGTGCTTTCTTGTCTGCTGCAAATGCAGACTTTTTTTATCTGAGTACACCTATTATTTGTGTGTTATACATGCAGATATATACACACAAATGCGTAAATAGATATATGTCCCCACGCACACTTAGAAACAAGAATGAGAAAAAGCTTTTTCTTTGTGGGTTGTACAGTAAGCAGGAGTTCGCACAAGCTGTACGTAGCAGCTGGCCGCGGTACCATTCCTGCGTTGGTGCTGGTGCTGTGCGACGGCAGCAGTTCTACCAGCTGAGCAAGAGAGGGAACCTCCCTGCAGCTGAGCCTGCCAGAGCTGTGCTGAACTCACCTCCAGTAACTGGTTCCTGCGTACCTTGCATGCTGCTTCTGCTTAGCTTGGCTCTTCCATGTTCTGACAACCCTGGGGCCTGCCAGGGGCTGTTCCTGCGTGATCTCTCCTAACTGGCTGCTCAGGTATTAGCTCTGTTGGCACATGGTAGAAATGGGAACAGCTCCACTTGCTTACAGGGGCTTTTAAAGAGAGTATTTGCCTTGGAAAGAGGTCGAATTATCAACAAGAGCCGTTTACCGGGGCATGTGGAATGTGCATGGCCAGTCTTTGCTGCTGTCACGATGCTAAACAAGAGGTTGACCTAAGGCCTACTTATCCTTCTTGGCTTAGCTGCGGACAGTATCTCCCTATACAGGTACCTGTAGCATCTCCTGGAGACACTACAAGGGCAGCCTGTGTATTGTTAATAGCTGGGGCCTTTGCAGTGGGAACTTGGATAGGACAGTCTGCTTCTGCTGAAGCTTAGGGTGGAGAGTGGGAGCAGGATCAGCAACTGCCGGTCGAGAATGGATGCTGGAGCTGCAGAAAACCTGACTTTCTTCTATTCTGGCACTTTGCACTGCTAATAATTTTGCTTAGATTTCTTTTTTTCTCTCTGATGAATTCTGGGGGTGCTGTGTCGATGGAAGTGTGCCTCTTCCGAGTAAGATCAAGCATCTTTAATGTCTTTATGGCTACTGAAGATACCATTGCGTTAGTACCTGCTTGCCATAGCAAGATTTCTATCATCTGGTAAAGCTCTTCTGCTTTTCTCCTTCAAATTCTTTTGACTGAATTCCATCCAGAAGTCAACAGAGTCATTTGGTGCTTTTACATACTTTCCTTTTTCTAGTAATTCTTGTATGGTCTGTACAAACATGATAGAATTCCCAAAATAATGGGGCTTCTTGAAATACCCCTAGGACATGAGAAGGTTGATATAAAAGGTTACTGTATTTGTAGTTTCTTGCCCATAAGTTAAAGGGGGTGATTTTTTTTTTATTTTTGGCAACTGTACCCACTTCTGCAGGAGAGCTAGGAAGAGCAAGAGAAAATTTTGCAAATTTTGGAGCTCAGCTCAGGTGAACAGTGTATGCCTTGGTGAGAACAGAACAAAGCCAAGTTCTTTGATAGCTGAGGAAGGAGAAAGGCAGAATAAGATATGCTGCTTTCCTCTCCTGTCAGTAGGACAAAAGTATTTTATCAGCTTCCTGTGTATACATTGTTTTCTGGGGTCAATAAAGGAACAGGCCTTTTGCCAGCAGCAGTAGTGAAGAAACAGTAAGATGAGGCTACATGTGGAGGTGAGTTAGTCAGGTATGCTGCTGGTTATGAGATCTTGTCTCCAGCCCACATAAATTCTAGCTGTCAGCAAGCCTATGCAAAAACATCTGACACAAGCCCCTCAGCCTGTATTTGCAGCTACACAAACAGGTGTGTACTCACTCAGAGGGTTTTCTCTTTAGAGGAAGGAAAATCAAGATCTGTCCTGCTGGTACAAGAAGGCTCCTACAACAGTGTACATTTTTAAACTGTTGTTTAGCGGTAACAGAATATCCCTTCAACAACAGCTTGTCTGGCTGCATATCTGACTCGCCAGAGGGAACTTTTATCTGTCAACAGGTGCATGTGGCTCACGCTCTCATCCAGTAGATCTGTTATGTTGATAACAGGACAAAAACAAGTCTATTGTCCTTCTGTCCTGATTGCTTTGCAAGAATTCTTTTTGAATCCTAAAACTCTACCACCAGCAAGAAGGCTACTCTAGTCCAATGCTCTGCTAAGCATAACTTCTTTCTCCAAGTGACAAACTAACCAGTTGCACTTCGCTTCTCAAGGCGGTTTGTGTCTTGTCAGAGGGTACATGGAGAGCAGGGTGAGGACAAAAGAGATTTACTGGTGAGCGCTGTATCTCCTTCCTTGCTTTCATTCATGCTGTGAAGGGTGTTTTGAGCAACCCCTCCCCATCATGACACATCTGTGTGTAGGCTTCTCCGGGCAGACTCCCATAATTCCACCAAACTGTCTCTCTGGGTTACAAAATTTGCTCAGCAACCTAATAGATTCAGGAAGGATAGTTAGCACTTGGCTCCCTGTCTAGACTGTTTTGTAGAACCACAGAGAAACAACAGGTCTTTTGAGGATATAAAAAGAGAGCAAAATAGCCTGCATGATTACATTTTATCTTCCTGATTCACTGCCCATCTTTACTAACTGGTACTGCTCTTCCAGCACCTCCAGGCTCCTTGTTCCTCATTCCCTAGCAAGAGGACACCAGGCAGAGGCAGGTGTGTAGCATGTGTCTCTCTTGGTGGCACAATCTGTCTCAACTCTTGACCCCTTGCCAGCAACGCTGTTGAGCTGCTGTAACCTTCTGTGGGATTGCATGAGAACTGAGTCAGGAGCACTGCCTCTTTGCTTGGTTAGTTTTTAAGACATCAAGTCCCAGCCCTTGTTCGCTGTTGACCCTACAAACAGCTGTCCTGGCACAAGGTAACAGCAGATTGACCTGGCAGCAACTGCTTAAATGAGCACAACTGCCAAGAACTCCCCAGGGCTGTTTCAAGTCCCTCAGTTTAGGTGTTATCTTACCTGTTTTCAGAATCCCTTATGAGCTTGGTCAATGCTCTAGTGAATGAACTGTCCCCATGTAGCAGACAACATGAAGTATGGAAGTGATACATCTGGCTATGAAATGAAATAAAGCATTTGGCCAGGTTGCTGTAGGACAAACCCTGGTGTTGCTGGCACAGCCCATTCACAGGCTGTCAGCTGCTACTTGTTTGTCCACTTAGCCTCACAGGAACACTGCCTGGAATTCAAGACAAGGTGCCACTTAGGGTTTTTTTAAAAACTTCTAGAATTAATTTCATTGTTTTAAGGGAAAATATTTATAAATAACAGTCCTTTGACTGGCATTCCCTAAGCCAAGCATTAGTGTCAGGGCTCCTGGAACCATTCAAACTAAAGTCATAAACTGCTATTAGTAACTTACCGTGAAAATGCCTGCACCTTTTCTGATGCCTGTTTGGCTTTACTGTTAGCAATTAATTTTCTATTGCAACAAAATAAAAAAAGAGCCTAAAAGGAAGTTAAGGCATTCCATTTTCTTTATTTAAAGAGGAAGAGGTATAATTTAAATTGGCAGTATTAAATTTACTAAATGATATTAGGGAGTATCTGACAATATTACCAATACTGTGCTCAGCTTACGGTATGGTGGTGGGTTTTGCAGATACAGCTTCATTTCTGAGACCTGAATTTTTTCCTAGTGGTCTCCATTTCATTTATCCCTCTTCTGAATTCGTAACTGCAGAAAAGTTTCAGGTCATTGCTCCCGAGTAACAAATATTTTTATTATATGTGCTTATTTAATTCCAATGTAATTAAATATAGCTATGAGTGTGTCAGCCTTTAAATAAAAAATCCAAATGTTGTAACTAGAATATAATCAGTAATTAGGAAGTATAAGAGGGAAACAAAGCCTTCTTGCTGCCTGAAAGCTGTGTTGGCTGTAGCCGCTTTCAGAGCTGGGAGCAGAAGAGAAATTTGAGTTAATTAGGTATTACTAACTGAAGGCTTTTTGTAATTGCATACCATGATTACTTAATTATGAAAGCTGAAAAATGATGAGCTCATCATCTTTTATTTGCTGTCCTAGACCTGTTCTCTTCAGTTCTGTGTTAAAAAACAGCCCAATGTGGAGGCCCAACTTCTTGTCATGCTCATTTTTTTTTAACTTCCCACTTTGAATTTGTCCATCTTCAACGTTGTTTTTGCAAGAAAGCTTGCATGACTCCTTGGTGATTCTCCTAAAAAGGTACAGGTACCTTGGTTTTTATTCTTCCACTGAAGTATGATGTACTGGGTAAGTTAATAGCACTACCATTAAATGCACCACATAAGTGATCTGCATTTGGGTATCTAGTTTCTTATCATCCCCCCTTACATTCACTGATGCTAATTACCTATTGCTTGTGGATTTGGGCTCTTTATTCCTCTTCAAACTGGAAAACATTTAAGAGTGAAAAACTTCATCCATTAACATTCAGTTCAGGTAAAATGGTATGGCAAAGGTAAGGACTGATTAAATCAGGAAGCCAAACTCCCATGTGCTGAAGTTTCTCTGTTTAGACAGAGAAAGGATGCTATAAATGAATACCAAAAGTTTTGAGGGAAGCATTAAATACAGTTTTGTTATATATGTCATTAAACTAACCTAATGCCCCAAACCTTTGCTTGCAGGTACCACAGCTTCCTGGCTTTTCCTGGCTAAAGCCCTGCCTGTCAGCATCTGATATTGTGTACATTGGTTTAAGGAAAAAGAATAGTAAGTTGATTCAGAGTGAAGGATTTTTGTAAAGTCTGAAATAATGAGCTGCTTTCCACAGGTGGCTCTTCACAAGGAATGCTAGATGTAAGCTTGGGCCAGTCATGACTTTTTTTTTTTAAAAAAAAATGTATTTTCACAGCTATATTTTGAAGAACTATGACATCCAGTATTTTTCCATGAGGGATATTGATCGCCTTGGAATTCAGAAAGTTATGGAAAGAACATTTGAACAACTGATGGGCAGGTAACAATTATCTGACTTAAACTATTCTTATCATCCATTTGTTGAATACCTACTTTCCTGACAGCTACTTAAGTGAAGGTGACTCCTGATTTAAGGCAGCCTAACAGAACCAGAGCAGCGTCCAGTAAATAGTAACCTCTTAGCACTGACTTCAGTCCTCGACTTCCGCATCTTGAACTGGAACAGTTTCAGTGTTTGGCAAAAAGCTATGAGATGGGTTGCCTTGGTCACTACAGTTGTGGCTGTTTAATAGGATCTGTTATGTTTCTTGAGGAATTCTGCGTTTTGCTGTAGTTTAACAAACTGTTTGAATCAACTTGGGCTCTAAGGTATACGTTATACTTTTAAAAATATATGTAGCACCTTGACAGTAACTTGAATTCAGCTGTATGTACATGAGGTAGAAGCCTTTGATATCCTGCTCCTCAGACCATGCTCACGTAGGCTGTCCTGATGACAACGGCCACTTTCTGTTCAGCTGGTGAGGCTGACAGTAACCACTCCCTTACTTAAGTTCGATACTGAAGTCTTTGGTAAGCTTGTTCAAGTTTGGGCAACCAGATCAGGGAGTAAATCATGCTAGTCTAGGGACGCATGGAGAAGATCAGAGTTAGAAAGGGTAACCTCTCACCACAGGGTGGAACAAAGTCCTGTAAGCAGAAGATGGTCTATGTATGTGTGCTGCATGCTGTTGTATCTAAAGGTGTGCTCACCCTGCCTAGCTGCAGCTGTGCCAAGAAGTTGCTAATCCAGATGCTTCTCCCTACTGAGCATCTGCAGTAAGCTGGAAGTACAGAGTCTACAACAGCTCATCTGAGTAAGAAGCAGTGTCCAATTTATTAAGCTGTCATTGGCTGCCAGACTTCCTGTAGTAAGTAACTAATGGTTTAGGCTTGAGGTTATCCTTCCCTTTATTCATCAGCTAGGCTTACATGGCAGAGTCTGGAGGCAGCCTTCAGCTATTGACGCAGAATGCTCCTTTCATCTTGATAAGCTGCCTATGAAATCCTCAAGCTGGTCCTTCATCCATCCTAGATGCCATGCAAATCAATGTTTCAGCCTTTCACCCTGGCTTTCTGTACAAAAGGAGAAAGGGCTGGGTTATATCATACATTTCTCTACCTTGTTCCAACTAAGGAGACAAATACCAGATAAAATGGTTAGAACTTAAGTACTTCAGCCAAATCACACCTGAGCAGATGCTCAGTGAAACTAGAAAGACAGAATTCTGTTTTCCCAATGTGTACTGGGGAAAGTTCTGAGCTGAGAGATGTTTCAGAGGCCAAAGATATATTAAAAAAAAAAAAAAAAAGAAAATAAATCCTTTCCAAATGCATGTAGGACACAGTATAGGACTTGGGGGGGGCCTTTAGCATAATGGAGCATGATGCTACTTTGCTCATCAGCCTGGACAGTAAGAAATATCTGTAGAAGATGTTCAAGGTTCTGAGATTGCTTTTCTTGTTTATTCTGTCTCAGGAGACAAAGACCAATTCATCTGAGTTTTGACATTGATGCTTTTGATCCCTCATTGGCTCCAGCAACCGGGACTCCCGTTCTAGGTGGATTAACTTACAGAGAAGGCATGTACATCACAGAGGAAATACACAACACAGGTAGGAGCTGACCAGCAGTATTGGACTAAGCGAGGACAGAACAAACTACATAGAGCTCATATTGGTTACGTTTTTCCTGTGAAACTGGATAGTAAGATGAATGTAGTCAAAGCCAAGGTGCCCAAAAAGTCAATTTAACCGTTGGTTAAGGAAAAAGAAGCCCTAAGGTTGAGCAGTACCCCAGGTGTTGGAAGCAGTTTAACCATCAACAACTTCAACTTACTAGAAGTGAATAAAATGCATAATATAGTAACAACTAATGCCAAAAATAACTCGGTCATCTTGTGTAATACTGTGCCCTATTTCTAAAGACATGAGGTGAGATGTAAAAATGGGCATCTCGAATTAAAAAAAAAATGGATGCAAACAATTTTAAACAGTTTGAAGTTAAATCCTAGGATTCAAGGCTAACAAACCAAACTTTCACTGTGTATACCGCAGTTGACTCAACAGATAAGGACTCTACTCCTTATGCTATAGGGTTTTTATTTATGTGTTTAAACGAGTTATTTGCAGTAAAAGCATTTGACACTGTCTTGCACAGCATCC